GACACACGTTAGTTACAGGTTTGCGTATGCGCATTTCGATTTGTTTACAAATGGGGCGGATCTATCGTGCTGCATGTTGGGTACTAACGTTAAAGTTAAGGTTAACGTCATGCATCGAAAACTCCTTATTAACTTGAACGTAGAACTTAATGTATTCAAAACAATGTTTACCCATACTTTTACAGCAGTACGATAGAAACACTTTATTATTATCCAGTAAAAAAAATCAGGGAAAATCAATTATTCTTATTTCTATGCTCAAGTTAATAATTTGCATGTTGAGCAAGGTAATTTCATTTTTTTAATGAGTTTTTTTTATTTTTTTTTTATTTTCATTATTTTAATACATTATTAAATTTATTCATTCGTTACAAATGTCAGATATAATTTGAAATCATATAAGCCTAGTTAGTATCAGAATCCCCGGCAAACAAACAAAACCTTAACTGCTGATAATATTAGCACATTTATTTACTCAACCTCTCAACCACTCGTCGGCGAGAAACAAACATTCGTCGGGGAAAGAAAAAAAAAATTATATATTTATTTTTTACATTAGTAGACTCGATTAAATGTCTTCGAAACCCCCAATTGCTGGTTCTTGCTAGCCAATAAATATTCTTTCCCAGGATCACTCAAAATAAATACTTCTTAATCTAGGCCTATGTAAATATGCATCAGCACACGGGTGTCTATAAAACGAAGACCGAAGACCCAAAAACGAAGACCCCTATTTTTTCTCTTTCATTTTGATGATAATACGCCAGGTTGTCACAAAGTCAAAATTACGAAATTTTTTGGGTGTCTGTTTGTGGAATTTTCAAGGGTCTTCGTTTTATAGACACCCTATATGGGTGTCTACAAAACGAAGACCGAAGACCAGATAAACGAAGACCCACATTTTTATTTTTCTTTCAATCGTGATGAAAATAATGTTTTTAAATCACTTCATGTTACGTATATATAGTATACGTCTTAGCACATTGTTGCCTGAATCTGAGTCAATTGAATGATCTACCATTTATTCCAGTACCAAAGCGGCAACCAATGTTGTACGTCCACGGCTGGTGGCTGAGCGCGTTTTGGCGCTGCTACCCTCTAAACGAAAGTAAGGCGGCCTAACGGTACGCGTATTTTGGGGCCTACAAAAACCTTGAATATTTCATTCATAAACTTGTTCCATATTAAAATAAACAGTAGGAATGTGGTATAGTGATATATATGTGCAGCATCGGTCATTTGGTAGTGACACCAACATAGGATGGACGAGATAATTAAGGGTCTTCGTTTTGTAGACACCCTATATGGGTGTCTACAAAACGAAGACCCACATTTTTTTTCGCCCAATCGTGATAAAATAATGAAATATGTACTTGGCAACTGTTTTATGATGATTTTGAAATACTTTCAATAAGATAATTGAGAAATAATTGGAGGTCTTCGTTTTTCGGGTCTTCGGTCTTCGTTTTGTAGACACCCATATAGGGTGTCTATAAAACGAAGACCCTTGAAAATTTCACAAACAGACGCCCAACAAATTTCGTAATTTTGATTTTGTGAGAGCCTGGCGTATTATCAAAATGAAAGAGAAAAAATAGGGGTCTTCGTTTTTGGGTCTCTGGTCTTCGGTCTTCGTTTTATCATTATAGACACCCTCAGCACACGTTATACATACTATAAATAACACATAGGCCTAAGCGTGATTTTTTAAGTCCCAGGCCAGGTCTTTCAGATACAGAAATTTGATATTCTATGGTTCAGTTTGGTTTTTCGCTTTGCAAGCTTTATAAAGTTTTGTTTTAATACTACAGTACTACTAGTAGGCCTAATAATAATAATAATTATGATGATGACAATAATTATGATGACGATGGTGATAATAGATAATAATATTGATAATATTAAAAAGTGAAAAAAATTGTGCTAAATGCGAAAAGTAAGTTGTGATTTGTTGATCACAATTATTCTAATATAGTTAAAGCTTAGTTCTGTGGAAACATAAGGACTCTGTGAATGGAAGCATCACCACAAAACAGCTTGGAAAAAGTAACTCCATTTTAGTTTTCAGTTTCAGCATCCAGAGAACGGGTGTTTTACGTTTTGGAGATCACTATGAGTGAATACTATGTTTGTAAACGTGTATTTCTGTTCTTTAGTATTCAAGTTTTCGCTCTTCGTACGCTGGTCACTTAAATGCACGATAGAGCTACTTGCTCGGCCCCAGCGAACTGAACGGAGGGAGGAAGCAGTGCGACCCCTAAGTCATGATGATGCACTGAACCTAGCATAGCCATCCCGAGTGCCTGTCAGTTGACCGAGACTCCCTGTGCATCTCCCCTGCAGTCTGTTAATCGCCTAGTCCTGTCAAGTATCACCGCCAAGCGATCATCATAAGATGCCACAAGGCTAAGTACTCAACCTCGCCAAGGCTCGGGCCTTCACCAAGGCCCGGGCCCAGACTCAGCGGAGGGTTACCGGCGTATTACCGACAAGAAGCCTCGTCGACCCCGGAACCCGTCAGGGAGAGAGTCAGGTGACTATATTTTGCCTGTGCTTAGAATATATTTGGTTCAATTGTACGTATGGTATTGGTGTTATTACCTGCAGAAGCAATCAACGAGGATACATTAGGCCTATTTATTCTATTATTGTACAGCGAAATTGCTTGTTTTGCCTTATTTAAACAAATAATTTTTAGTTATTTTAATGAACATTTAGTATTATCTTAAAGTACTTTATATTTCATATAAAAATAAAGGCTAATAAAATGGTGTTAAGATATATTATAAAATATGCAAATGATGAATATGAAACAATTGGAAATGTCAGAGGGAATTCTATCTAAACTTCCAACCAAATGAAAAGCGAGACATCAGACATAGTAAAAAATAGAAATCACTTTTTTAAAGCAGCTGTAGGTGCCACCAGAACGCAAAACTTTACGTTTTTTGCAGAAAATTGGCAAAATTTTCACTTTTAAAAGTTTTAATTTCAGAATCGACAGATTACTGTATGTTTGGTTCATAGCTACCAACCTTAAGATTTGAAATGCGTGAGTACACCAGTTTGTTGGGGGAGGGAGGGAATGAGCATTTTCAGCTGTTTTAAATTGATTTCAATGTGTGTTTGTTGACAATACCGGGTACAAAAATATTTTTAATAAAGACACATATGGTACAATTTGAGTTTCAATGTAGGGCCTACATTATGTTTAATTTGAGCACCCGAACTATACACAAACATTTCATTACTTACACAAACAAAAAATGAATAGGCATATTGATTAATGTTTAGTAGCGTGTCAGTGAATTAAGTATTCACGTAAATACTGTCTAATGACTCAAATTTAAACTGCATGACCGTTTTTATATTTTTAATGAAACTAATTTCTTCTAATTTAAATAGATTTTCCCCTGAATTTGTGACAACTCGTTATCACGCATAGACCTGCGCTAAATGCGTGACAAATTTATGATCACGCATGTTTCAACGATTACTCTGAAATGCGGGACCGTCGTCCCGTACGATGCAAGACGGTTGGTAACTATGTGAGCCTTGGCCTGAGCCTTAATTGGTGAAGTTGAGCACTTGGTCTTGCGGCATCACATGATGATCGCTTGGCCATGATATTTGGCAAGACTAGGCGAATAAGAGACTACAGGGGAGTCGGTTAGGGAGTCGTGGGAGCCGCAGCTCTCCCCCCCCCCCCCCCCCCCCCCCCCCCTTTGTACACAGTGTTAATGATTAATTTTAATATATAAAAGTGTCATTTCCAGCCATCTAGAGGTACTATTTCCTCAAATTTTCGCACTGTTGGGGCTGAGGTGGTTCTGGAATTATGGCTTTGAAGTATGTAAAATACATACTCAAAAACAATGTTTATAAGTATAGGTGTAATTTTGCCCTACCACCTGCAGTACGTTTGAAAACAATTGCGAAAAAATCGCAAGTTGTTCTAGGGTGGGACTCGAGCCCACGATCTCCAGATCACTAGCCTGGCATCAAGTGCCCGAATATGTCCAGTTTACAAAGGAGGTGACAATACAGAGCCATGTAACTATCGACCAATATCAATTTTGCCAATTTTATCTAAAATACTGGAATGTACAATTTTTGATCAATTATACCCCTATCTTAATAATAACTCTTTAATTTATGAAAAACAATCAGGTTTCCGCCCAAATTTTTCCACACTATCTTCCCTCATTAACGTAACAGAAGACTGGATAGATGCAATAGACCAAGGCAAATATATTGGTCTTGTTATGTTAGATCTTAAAAAGGCGTTTGACACCGTGAATCATGACATCCTCATTAAAAAATTAAGTATGTTTGCACTGAGTAATCTTTCTTTAAACTGGTTTAATTATTTTAATCTAACACAATTATTTTGTTTAATGTCCATACGGCCTCGTGGAAGAACACCCACTTGGGTGAACGAGTTTTTTGACCGTTATAAAATAAAGTTGTTATTATTATTATTATTATGTCTCTAGACCACCGAGCTTGCGCCTGATGGTCAGGGTTGAATTCGAGTCCAATTAAGCAGCGGGTACTGCAGTGTCATCATCATCATCATTATTATTATGCACTTTAACGAAAACTGGCTTTTCACTGAAAAAAATAATTATATACTGAACTCTGACCCATAGAAATTTTAAATACTCCAAATCCAGATCCTCTTGGTGTCTGAGAGAGAAACTTTTGAGTATTGTCCATTCAAGTACCAGGTTCAAGTCTCGAGAATAGTGTAGGGGTCGGGGAAATCACCCCCTTTGTCATCCCTTGATCCAACACTGAGCTGTTTAATATGATTATTCATATGTCAATTAACAGTTGAACTTGCCTAAGACGTCCAAAATGGCATTGAAAAATTGTTCGACTTCGATAGATAAAATTTGACTTACATATCGTTAATTAATTGAAAACACAACATGTAAATGGCATGTAAAATAAGATCGACTTAGAAATTATTTGAGTTAGACAAAGTCGACTTATGTAAGTTTTACTGTATTTTCATTATTCATTGATAGTACTTAGCAAAGAATTAGAAGTCCGCATAAAGAAATAAATGATAACAGGTGTTATTAATATTCATATTTTAATCCTCATCATTTAATATTCATATAAGAGTTTAATTTCCATACATAATGAGCAAAGAGTGGGAACGATTCAGTTATATGAAGAAGTGAAGATTCCAACTGTTCTTTCATTGTTTCTGCAACTTCACCCTTAATATTTTCTCGAGTTGAACTCAATGATAACAACTGTTCAAGAATGTTAAAAGCGTTGCAGCCATTCTCGTATTGAGCCACGTTCAGATCACATTGCTTGTTCGTGTATTGCCTTAGCATCTCCGATAACTTTACAATTTGGTGGATGAGAAGTTTCAAAGTTGGAATTAACAGCGATTTAACCTTGCACAGATACAGGATTTGTGAGATTAAGGTTTCCTGATACTTGTACTGAAAGATAAAATTAAGTAAAAGATGAAGTTTATATCAAAAAATGTACTGGACAGACTTTAATTGATACTTAGAATTAAATTTGAGTTCTGACAAACATTTGATTGACCTACTGGGAACTAACATCTCAGTGAGAATACTGTTCACAAAAGTTCTAAAAAAATTCCCACCATTAACAGACATTCCCGTTAAGCCTGGTTCCCATAAAATCGCTACACGTTATCGGCAATACATTTTGGCAACTAAATTGCTTGGTTGAAAATGGGATCGTTGCTGATTGCAGCAGCTAGGGCAGCTATGCAGGGTATCTTCCAATGCTGTAAGAAGATTGTAGCAATGTTATGGAAACCAGGCTTTAAAAACTATAACATTGCTGCTTACTGGTTGGTTATGACCCCCAATGAGCGCTTTCTTTAGCAATCCCTGAATAAGTCTCCAACAGGTTCCCTCAAGTTTCTTCTCACTGTCAACATTTAAATCAGAACTGACGACTTTAAGTACGCCCTCTACAGCCCAGTTCAGATCCTTTGATGGAATTTCTTCCAAGTTTTCAAGTAGGTGGTCCACCACTGACGTCAGTGAATTTTCAAGGACGTCCAGAGATTCAGAAGTTTTGAAAACACTCATGGTTTTGTTATGATTGTGTAGGCACATAGCACAATGCAGGAATCGGATGCCATTATTGAATTCCCGATGGATCTTTGGACCTTCCATAGAAGATATGGTTTCTGATGAGCTTGGTGGAGTAAAAAAGTGATCAGAAAACTGGTCTGGTGCTGTTTCAATACTGGCTAAACAAAGAGCAAGATTAATTGAAATAAATTTAATTGATATTATTAACAGATTGCAATACAAAAATAATAATAATCATGATAGTAATTATACACTGCAACAATATTAAAAATAATATTAAAGATGATAAAATAATATAACATTTTTATAGCATGATTTACACCAAATTATAAAACAAAACAAAACATACAAGTTGTGGTGGTATACAGTGGTACAGCAGGTCTCAATCATCTCTGCACTGGCGCAATCCCAGACCTCTACAGGTGCACACAAATAAACAGCTTCAATATCAACAATTAAAAAAAAAATGTTCACTAAATAAGTATTTTACCTGCATATAAATTACGTGAATCCCATTTATGAAATGTTTCTTCTGCTTTTAATTTTACAAGTTCCTGCTTTGCTGTCAGCAACTCGACTTCAAGTCGCTTGGCTTCTCTCTTCCAGTCTTCCTCTCTCTTCTGTAGGGTCTCTCTTAGCTTTTTTGCATACTGCTCTCCTGACATATCTTCAGGCTTGTTTCTTATGACTGCTATTGCAACCGCACATTTTACTCTTTTTATGTAATTCACATCAGCAGTATCACAATCAGATGTTGTGGAATCCATGCCTGTTTTTACAACAAAATAAATGGTGTAATGGTATAATCTTGGACATTGCTATATAGCCCTAGCTGTCCTGACTATCAAATTGTGTCTGACAAAAATAAAACAGCGTGACACGCATAAATATGGTCGTGATGACATCACATCAGGACTACAAAGGCATACATCAAGTCAAGGCGTAGGCTGGGCATACATTGGTTTTTTGTACAAAAAAAAAAAAATATGGAGTCTGGACAGAGCATTAGTAGGACTGGTTCTAGGCCCTACTCATATTTAACATTTATTTGGCCTTTCCATATGGTGTATACCCTAATACTACTACTAGGCCCCTCCCTAGGGTATTGACAAACTGCGAGTCAGCGAGGCATGCGATTCATGCAAGCCATTTACCCTCGTGACTACATCAACTGCAATTACTGCAAGGCAGGAAGAAGTATAACTGCAGTATTGTACCAAAAGTGTGAGGCACCTTAAACACGCTAAAACTCCTTAAAATGAAAATGACAATAGTTTAATATAAATTATGATGTTCATATGACCTCCTCATCGAGCAATAATAAAATAAAACCATTTTCTTCCATTAAAAAGTGACTTAATTCAATCCGGCCGGTCATGTCCCTGGCAGGGTCTAATAGGAGTCACGACGAGGTCTCGAAAACCAACAGGAACAGGAGAGGACGACCGACGAAGAGGAGGGTTGAATTCTGAATAGACGAGTCATACTCACATGCATATGTTTAATCACGTTTGATAATAATTGATGTTATTGTTCTTAGACTTACTATGATAGATTAATAAATAAATAATAAATTAATAGAATATTAAAATAATATGGGGTTATTACTATACTTTTGAGGATTACCATAACCACAACTTGTGAACTATTATTTGTATAGACTCCCTAAAAGTGTGCCACACATAGCTCCATCATCCTCTCTCCCATCATTTCACCACACCCTGAATGCATTGATTGATTGGCTAAATGACGAAAAGAACCGCTAAATGTCCATTGTAAGTTATGAAAATGTAATTTTATTGTTTATACAATAAATGATTATAATAATTATAAATATTTTTGTATATATATTTTTTGACAAGGCCTCTGCATACCTAATATAATACTTTACTGGAAATATATATACTGTCTCTTATCTTATACACATCTAGATGTGTATAAGAGACAGGTCCTATGAAAAATCATTGTGTAATAAAATGCCTCTGACGGGATTCGAACCTGCGACCTCTCGCTAACAAGGCGAACGTCATAACCACTAGACCACGAAGTCTTGTTGAAGTTCAGTATTTGTTTAGTAGATAATTTGTCTATTAATTAAAAGTTAATGAACCCTTAAAACAGTTGTTCATTTGACATTATTTTGAATAATTCATGTGTGAGAAATATTTAAAATGATTTATTAAGAATCAACAGGATCTTACAGTAACTGTAAATTCATTCTAAAACATTTGGAATAAAAGTCTTATATTTAAGGTGTGGAATACAAATTTCCCGCTAAATAGAGTATTTAAAGACCACTTTTAGTGCCGGTCTTTAATTAGAGGGATTCTAATTAGAGATCAAAGCAACTAGAGACCACCAAATCCTCTGTCTCAAAAGTGGTCTTTCATTGGAGGGAGATCTGTAGCATGCTGCAATTGAAATAAAGTACAGTATGTTCTTTAATTGAAATAACATCCCAATAGAAAGAGTGTGATCTCAAGTTGAAGTAATGAAGTCGTATGCTACAGTTAAAACACTGTAAACACTGTGCTACCCATTTGAAAAAGTGCTACCCATTTGAAAAATGTGTTACCCATTTTAAACACAGTGCTACCCCATTTGAAATATGTGCTACCCATTTGAAACAATGTGCTACCCATTTGACACACAGTGTTATCTATTTAAAACACTGTGCTAACCCACTTGTAACGAGTGCTCTCCATTTAAACAGTGTGCTACCAATTTGAATCATTGTGCTATCATTTTGAAGCAATGTGCTAACCATTTGAAACAAATTTTATCCATTTAAAACATGTGCTACCCATTTGAAACACTGTGTGCTTTCCATTTGAAATATTGTGCTACCCATTTAAAACACTGTGTGCTATCCATTTGAAACAATGTGCTACCCATTCAAAACAGAGTGCTATCCATCTGAAACAGCATGCTCCCACTTGAAAAGTATGCTACCAATTCAAAACAGTGCGCTACCCACCATTTTAAACACTACCCATTTTGCCACTAAATTTAAATCACCTATTCGGAAACTGTTTTTGCCACCCCACCCAACTCCCTCCCCCCACCCACCCGTATGAATAAAATCTGAGGTTGCTAAATGCGTTACAAATTTATGCTCACGCATGGGTTCTTCAAAATGCGTGTTTCAAACAAAACATGGCTTTGAAATGCGGGACCATCCTGCACAATGCGAGACGGTTGGTAACTATGTCCCTCTTTCTCACTCTCTCTATCCCTTCTGAAACTACTATCACGAACACCCACTCGGAATACCCAAACCTGCACCAGAGATGCCTATCAACCACATACCGGTACCGGTACATGATTGCAACATTCATTATAACAAGAATGCAACTCATAAACACCTATGATAGAAGCATACGATCCCTGGCTCAAACAAGCACTCCTCCCAGCCCCGCGCCGTTCCCACAGAGAAATCTGTTATCCATGTGAAAAAGTAAAATTTAAAATAAAAGAGAAGCAAACGACAACAACAATTAAACCAAGAACTTTTGTGAACCATTGTTTCCATTAGGATATGAAATTAATGCAAACATACTCACATCTACGATTACCTTACCCCTCCCCAGAAAGAACCAGTGGCGTATTTAAAAATTACTCGCGCGCTCCCCCCCAAAAAATCACGGTCAAGTAGTTAAAAATCACCTAATCACCATATTATGCAAATTAGCGTCACTCAACTGATCATCGATCCACCCCCCTTCACCAAATATATGTAAGTTCATTAATGAAGTTTTTTATATGTTGTATTTTAAAAGCTTCTATCTATTGCACACAATTTTATTATTATTTTATTGACTTGCACACAATTATTATTATTATAATGATTATAATAATAATAATTATTATATTATTATTATTATTAATAATTATTTTAATAATAAACCTTTATGCTTTATAAAGCTATTTTATGCTACCAGCTATATATATGCTATTTCAATATGCTTCATAAAGCTATTTTATGCTACCAGCTATATCGATGCTATTTCAATGCTTTCTACCAATATTGTGGATATGTGGGATTTAGTGGCTGAGATTCATGATCTATGCCTTGCCTATGCATCCTTACAGCAGGTTACAGTATTTCGTCCTTCAGGGCCAGGCTTCCTGCAGTGCTAATATAACATTAGTTGCCTCTAAATATCGACCTTGATGATAGCGCCGGAATTCAATACCTGTGTTGCACTTGTAGATGATCTTATGAATAAATTGTTAATGTGTTGAGTGAAATAAAATAATATTTTTTAATAATGTTATTCTTTAATAATGATATTTTATTCAGTTTCGTATTATGATTGTACAAAACAATAATATTTTTAACCTCCTCTTTCAAAAAGTATACAAAGAGTAGTCACTATCTCAACACCTGTTCTTTTTTCTGAATTTTCTTATAATTGTTATTATGTAACTTATGTAGCTAATGCAGGGAATTATTATTTGATAGCAGTGCAACTTCAATTAACCTGTGACGCAAACTAAAAATGGAAGACAAGGCACTGCTCCAGTTACACCGGTGTCCATTGACCAGTTGGCTAATTGAACAGCGCACAGTTTGGGCGGTGACAACTTCAGTAATTGGGAAAGTCTCCTTGAAACCGTCCATGTAAAACACATTATACACATACATCAGTCGTGCCGCTAATCGTCCTAAACCTCACTCTGTGAGGTTTAACTTCGTTACATTATCCGGGGCTCCTTCGCCTAAAGATTGACTGTGCTAATTAATACTGTATTATTTTACAAGATGTTAGCCATTAATTAATAAATTATTAGACTTTTATGCATTATGACGTTTACTCTTTCAATTGACATGTCGACGAGGACGCGAAGCCCCGCCCACAAAGTCACTAAAACCTTAGGCTACGGTCACACTAGCGTCTCAAGCCTGGCTTGACTCACCGCGGGTGAGATTTCAAGCCAGGCTCGAAATTCTGGGTCGGTCACTCTAGTTGGATTGACCTCCAAATTATGAAATTATTTGTTTAAATTTGGGCCGTCATTCTCTTCTCATGTCCGAAACTGGCTAATCTGTCAGCAAGCGCACGCCAAAATTTTCCGTTTTGTTGTTTGTTTTTTTATTTTCTATCTGGTCTCTCAGCTCGGGTTGGCCCCACAAATCTACCAGGTCAGCAGTTTCCTGGTCGCTCCAAATCAATCGCATTATTAGTAATTAAAATTTGAATTAACTTTTATGAAAAGTAATGATTGCGTCTTGATTGAACACACATGAAGAACTCGCAGGTTTTTTTATTCAAGAACTTCTAAATGCAACGGCGTCATCGACTGTGATTGGTCGACAGCCGACGAGGAAATGTCAATCTCGGTCACGCCAGGGTAGATTGATATCGAGATAGGTAGATTGATATCGAGGTCACGCCAGGCGCGAGTCGGTGCAGATGCGGTCACATTACGAAAATCTCACCCGCGGTGAGTCAAGCCAGGCTTGAAACTCTAGTGTGACCTTAGCCTTAGACAATGGCAGCCAAACTTACCGAGTTGGCGAAGATTTTCTTTGCTATAACAACCTTCTTTAAGAAAGAGAATTCAGGGTAAGGGCAGTATGCAAATGAATCATATATTCAAAGTGTTAATCTATTTCATGGAACATGGCGGGGAAATTGTTGTAAAAGCCTCTGTATTTCGCTCCCAAAAGAAGAGGGAAAAGCCGCATTCAGTCAACCTTGTTGTTGGCAAAGGCCAAGTCACTGATGCACACTGCTCGCGTAAATCTGGGTATCTATATCCAAGCATATTGACATCTAGGCCTATAGGCTAGGCTCATGTATGTTTCGCGTTTAAACCAGCTGTAAAGGAAATTAAAATGTCCGCGAAAAAGTTTTTGATCACATGACTAAATGACGCTCGCTGATTAGTCGGTTCATCTGTCAATCAAATCTCGTTGAGATGTTAATTGTGTTTTGTTTCATGATTTTTAATTGTCTTTGCTAGTTATGTTTATTTTGTGAAAAATAAATAGGGTCCTCCTCCATGCATGGGGTGAATGGGCAGAATACGAGTGAAAATGAATACCACATAAGAGTTCATCAGGCCTATTTGAAGTCACGTCTCGATAGCTGGAAATTGTTTTTTTACCATCAAAATAATTTATGTTAAAAGTAGTTAATGCATTATTG